GAAGGTATCCTATGATTTAATAGAAATTTACAAGGCAATTTAAAATCTAAACTATGTACAAAACACTCAAAATACCTTTTTTACCTTCATTAAGTGGGTAAGTGTATGTCAGAGAAATTAGCTAAATAAATGTTTACATCGAAAATGATGTAATAATTTCATCATGTACCTAAGTCCCTAATATGAATCTGTAAATAAAAATTTTAAAAATACATACTATTTTTATTGGCGTCTGCCGGACGGCAACGCACTAGCGTGTATGAATTCCATCATGACGGTTTTACATGTCTAGTTTTTAAAAGAGAATGGCCTGCGTTTACAAATGCAAATTGCAAAACAATGCGCAAAAAATGCAAACCAAAGATAAGGAATACAATGAGGAAACAAAATTGCACAGAAGACACTCCTCAGCTGTTATGCTTACGAATATAATTTATGTTGGACAAAACGTTAATGCAAGCAATAGAACGAAGACGGAATGAAACTGGGCTAAGTCTACAATAATAGTGCGTTTAAAAAACAAAACAAATAATAATGCAACAACTCGACGCATAGTGTATATATATAACAATATTCTTAAACATATAAGCTATTTAATACTTTWATTTATTTATTTCACATTTTTAATCACTGCAATAATAACAACAATAATAATAAAGGAAATAATCGGAGACTCGTTATCATCTGTGCTGGTTGGTCCATATGATCATATGATCGGCTGGCCGTCAGATCAGCTGACGGATTGTGTGGGACCGAAGGCTTTTTCGCGATATTAGTTTGCGGCTATCAACACCACAAATGGCACAAATCGCAATCTCCGCATTACTATTACAGAGTTTTGAACGACGTGTTTGGCCAAGGTCATGTCTCAGAATAACAATAATATAATTATCATTATTATTATTATTATTATTATTATTATTATTAAGGTAACGAAACGACTAACCAGTAACACATAATATTATGTAGTTTAATTGCATTATACCTTAACCTTATACAAGTATACCTATTATGGTATGGTAATAACTAATAACGAAAATACGCATTATTATTTATTAGGTACATATTATACTACCAAGTATATAATTTAATTAGTAATAGCCTAAATATTGAAAGCATAATAGATATTGGTATTTTATTCAGACGGAAACGATATTAATACATTTTCCAATGTCTAATTTGTGTTACAAGATGCCTTGAAGAATAAAGATACAGCCGTAGGTCGTAGGTTGTGGGTCGTAGACATTAAATTATGTTATTATTGAATTACATAAGTGATCTAATTATTTTTATATTAATTAAATGAAAAGTATATTTTTTTTTCTAGGTAGTTATCTATTTTTAACAATTTTATCGTGTAAATATAATTATTTATCATTAATACTTAATTATCCTAAACAAATATTTATGCTGTGACAAAATGTTCAGTTATTTTGTTGCAATTGATATTATTTTATTATTTTCTATTTTAATCTATTTTTAATTTATACCACGATCCTATTCATCATACCGTTCTATGAGCTACGTCTGCAGCGTTGACTTATAAGTTAATAACCATTTAATATAGTTGTTAATTGATATAATATTAAGTGTGTTAGGGAAATAATAATTAAAGATAATAAATTCTAAAATTCATAACACATCACTTTTAGCTTTGCATATTTGTTTTACACGGTTACAAAAATGGCAGAGTATGAAGCAAACATTTCATGTTTTTTTTTTTTTTTTTTTTATTGATATTAAAGGCTTCAACAGCTAGGTCATTAGCCTGTGGTTGTGGTTACACATTTCATGTTTTCTCAAAGCTAGTTATAAAATTGTATTTTGCATAATATATAGAGGCGGATAAACCACCGGTTCAAGCGGTGCATTGCACTCCTTGAAATATTTGGAGGACCCCGATATTATAGTTTTTTTTTATAACATTTTTAAATTAGGGGCTCCTTATTTTTTTACAACGGGGCCCTAAAAGTTCAATAATATAATAAACGATAATACCTGTAATAAATGGTAATATATATAATATATAATAAAATATTTATATGGATGAAAATATAATAAATGCATATCCTATTTCGATTTTTTTTTTAAGGCATATTTCTTCAATTTTATACTTTTTGTGACATAGTTTACTTAATTAATCATGTTATCAATTTTTTGACCACTTAGGTTATATTTTAAATAATTACAATAAAATAAAACATATTATTATGCAATATAATCATTATTGTATACGAAAAACGATTCTGAGCAGAGACGGTTGTGAGTCTAGGATATTTTAACTAAATAATTTGTAAAATTTCAATYTAATAAAGTACCAACGTATTATTAATATTTTCCCCAACTGCTATAATATAAACTTATAGAAAAATTTGTATTAAATGTTCAAGATTTTTGACTCAACGAAATATTAATTGAATTGAAATTATACTTGAAAATTTTATTGACATTTATAAAATATAAGACTAATAAAAAATTAAATTGAATATGTATATAAATAACTTAATAAGAGTTGAAATAATTTAAAAATTGTATCATGTGACATGTATATAAAATAATAAAATAAATATGTGATGAAAGTTTCGAGTACTCACGTTTAGTAGTTTTTGATCAACAACAAAATAAGAAAATCGTTGTATGAGAAATCGATTGAACGTCCAATGTTTTAAAAATTATAACTTCAAACATATAAGTGACTTTCCAGTTAACATTTTTTTTTTTCAATAAAAGTAAAATAACTTACGAGAAATCTTGTTTTAAATTTTTAAATCATTAAAAGAGCAGGTAAGTGGATGTCGCTCTACTGTACAGTACCTAAGTTACAATGTTAAAAATTGATTACTGTAATAGAATATAGTATTAAATTTAAATTCAATGATATAATAGGTATCATTATATATGAAAAACGATTCTGAGTAGATATAGTTTGTCAGTCTAGGTCGTAGAATCTAGGATAATTTAAACTTTATTAATTTTCTTGTTATTATTATAAAAAAAAATGTAGTTATCTATAGATCTTAACTCACATCTTCAATGCAATGCTTAGACTTTCTTATTTTCCATCACTGGAAAATTTCAACATTCATTCTAATACACAAACCAGGTAAACCCAAAAATATAACATCTTCATACCTCAGCCTCCTTCCATCCCTTGGAAAATTATTTGAAAAACTTATATTAAACATCTTCAATTCAAAATAAATAAAATCATTCCTAACTCTCAGTATGGCTTTTGAGCTGATCATTCTACTATCCACCCTCTCCGTCACTATCACTATCTCAGTGTTGAATTTTCCAAGTAAATTTAAACAACTCAATTTCAAACCAATTTATGATTAACGCCGGTGTACTCCAAGGTAGCGACCTTTCTCCTCTTTTATATCTAATATACAATGCATATTTACCTACGTCCTACATCCTCTTTCACCATTTTCAATACTTTTTCCGTCGACATTTGTATCTTAGCCTCCGATTCCGATCCCACAGTAACAAGCTTCAAACTTCAAAACCATCTAAACTTACTCGAAAATTGGTTCACACTATGGAAAATAAAAATTAATACAAACAAATCTAGCCACATTACTTTCTCCCTAACAATTACTGTCCACCAGTCAAACTTTGCAACCAATTATTACCTCAAACCAACCAAGCAGAGCTCATTTTCGACAAATGATTAACTTGGAAGGACCACATATTCGCCAAATGTAAAAACTTAACTTCTGATTACATTTATTACGTCCTCTCTTACGATCAAAATTAAACTAGAAACTCAAAATCCTTGTTTACAAAATGTTGATCTTTCCCCTTTGGTAGGTACCTATATTATACTATTATGGTATACAAATTTGGGGTAATGCACTAATCCACTAATGCCGTTCCAAGTAACATACAAAAAATGCAATCATTCCAATCCACCTGCCTTCGCACTATTACAAAATCCCCTTGTTATGATAATAACAAAATATACTTTACACTCAGACCTGAAAATAAACTACATAAACCAAGTCACTAAAATCGCTTACCAAAAACTTCACAAAAAATTTAGCTCCCATTGTAACCCCAACATTAGTTATCTTGCTACACATCACATTCTAGACAACCCCCCACGAAGACTCAAACGAAAATAGGTTAGAGACCTCCTTCATTAATCCAAGAATAGGTAGCTCTATTGGGACTTTGGGAGCCTTCCTACATATCATGTATTCGTGTCATATTTTTCATGTTATGTAAACCTCCTCATCACTTATACTTGTTGTGCTTAATTGTATAGTTGTATATTTGGTATTAAATAAAAAAAAAAGGTTATATAGTCATTTTGAATTTGAGGTTATACCTATTATAATAAATCGTATATAATATGCATTGCGTGCGGCGCGATCAACACATAAAATAACAATTTTCTCAAAACTGCGTCGCTTAAAACACGTCTAATAATTTTGACAAACAATTCGTTCCATTTTAATTTCAAACTAAAGATACATTTATTATTAATCAATGTTACCGGTAAATAAAAACCAATTGTTTTAACTATAATTCTTTTTGATGATGACTTTTCACGAATTCCATAATAATTTATTATTTATTAATTCTGTATTAATATGACGTAACGATTGTTACGATTGTAATCACGATGTATAAGAATAATATGTAACCGTAATGTTTCTCTCCATATAGTCCTTGGAGGTACAGTGAAAACTCTCTATAACCATGTGATTTCTTTCGTTATTGAGAGTTTTCGTAATAGAGAGTAATTAATAGGTTTTAAATCAAACCAACCATTATAAGTTAACTTAATGTTATTTACGTAATATAGAGTTTTTCGTTGTAACGAGTTTCGTTATAGTTTTCACTGTATTAGTTTACCTCCACCATAAATGTTCTATGCCTCCACGTCTCTACGCCATTTTGTTGCTGAGCGATCTTCATACCACGGTTCAAAATATATCTTAAACCGTGCTTAATACGTCGTTATCAACGATGCATTAATAAATTTTAATCGTCCCAGAGATAACCTTCAACCTTGTCGAAAGCCTTAAGGTTAATTTTCTGCTAGTGATTTCAGACAGAATTTTGTTTTTTTGTTGACGCCCGTAAACGCGTAGACTTTTTTTTAGCTTAAATTAATTTAAGACTTACACCATGTTTGGTTCAAAAGCCGTACAAGCGCTTAGGCAGTTCTCAACTACTGCAGTAAGAAGAGGACACGCGTATGAAGGTCCAGGGCATGTAAGTTGAAAAAAAAAACGTGTCTTCAACAAATTATTTTTGGGTTATCTTTAGAATATATTCTGGACGGTCGTGATTTTTTTAAAACATACCTACTTACAATGTTATATTAAATTTTCTGTTTGATCTGTGACTGAATAGTGAATATTCCATTTATAATTGAAATGTTTGAAACCCATACGATAAAGAAACGGAACACCCCTGCTTTCAATGTAATCATTTGAGTTTGATTATATTTGGTAGTGTATTAAAATAGCTTGAACTCTTAAAAGATTCGGTCCGCCGGCTGCCGCATCATATCATTGGTAGGAGGACATACAACCCCAGGCTGCCGTAAATTAATTTGGATTTATATGATTAACTTTTCCGTGGCACTACAATAATGATCTTGAAAATATGCTGTGGCGTAGTGGGAATAATTGCAATTTTTTTAATGTAATGAACATAATTTTAACAATTTTTTTTGTATTTTTAATTTTTTTTCAAATTCAATAGTATATATAAAAATACAAATTTATAATGGCACTGAAAAATGTCTCTGGCATACCCATGATAAATATTCTTGAGGCCGTCATCGGCTGCATGGCAGTCAATGTGTTAATAAGACTAAAAGACATGAAAAATACCAAAAAAAAAAAATGTATTCTGTTAGCAATTTAAATAAAAATACTTACAAATGTAAAACTGAGTATTCTAAGCAAAAAAATATATATATGAGCTCTACAAACAATAAGGAGTCATACCATTTGATATGCCAATTCAATTTGCTTAGTATTTTTCATACTACATATTATAAACTAGATACATGAAAATACAAAACAAAACATTATATAATGCAAATTAATAGAAATACCACCAAAACTTGAAAAATAGAAGTATACAATTTCATAACTGGAGTCCCTGATGCATGAAACAAATTTATAGTTCATTACTATTATTATCTGTATCTTATAACAAATATCAAATGCTGTAAAGTCTGAGCCATGCCAATGTGTAATGTGAATATTGGTACCTACATAAGGTTTTATCTGAACTTGATTGATTTTAAAGTGGGCTAACTAGTTATTCGTATGTACCAATTATAATTTGATTTACTGATAATGACCTGTTATTGCTAGGCATCAGACAAGTATAATCGTGATTGAGGCTTATTTTTACTTGTTTATCATATTAAGAGGGTACCACACGAGCATTTGTTTTCTCCGTCTTACAAATGTACATCATAGAAAATTGTACATTCACAATGCATTTTTCACTATAATTTCTAAAATTAGAGCGAATTTACCTTAAGTAAAATTTAAAAGTAAAAATATTATTTAAGGTATCTTAGAAGAGTTTATTGATATTATTATTTTTAAGTAAGTTATGGGTTTTTTTTTGTACATTTTAAAAGTAAGTTATGGTCATTTTAAAATGTACAAAAAAAAAGTTTTATAAAATGGTCATAATATGATGTGATGTGCCAACGATATGTATAAGATTCAGATTCAGGCCTTGAAATGATTTGGTACTTAATACTATTCATAGAAACATATACAATTAAAAACATTTTTTTTTTTTTTGAAAATGTTGAAAGAATGTAGAAATAAATATTTGTATTATTGGTATAATGATATCACAAATTGAAATAAATTTCATGACAATTACAATTACTCAGGTTTTCCAATTCACTTGATTTTATAAAGAAAAATTAAATTAAAATTAAAATGTTTAATGTATTATTTCATTACTAATCCAATGTAAAGTTAAAAATGGTGTTCAGACATTTTAACACCAAAAAATTTTGTTAAATTTGGACACTTACTCATACCTATATTCTTGAAACATGGACAATTGATAGTAATTGTTATAGTGAGTTTGTTATTCTGTGGTAGACGGTAGTTATTATTTTATTAAATAGTTATAATGAGGTAAGATGAGTTGTATGATAGTTATAGTGATATGATATTATCAAATTCCAATGCAATCAAAGTAATTCATTTCAAAATCACAGTTCATCATGTCCAGGATACATTTTAATTCCAAAAAAAGAACAGCTGTGTAAAGGTTAATTTTAAATTTAAAATCATCAACAATAATCCCATAACTCAGATTTCGCTACATCTAAAATATGCCATACAATGAAAAAATATATTATTATTTATAACAAATTATCTCGATATTCTCTCTTAAATTAATGAAAAATGACTAAGCTAACACACAAAAACAATATGGATATTTTGATGTTAAACTCTAGCAATATTTTAAAATCCTCATAATTCACTTTAATATTAGAATATCGTAAAAAATCTATGAGAGAACAAACATAATGTTCTTACATTTACTTTTAAGTAATACAAAATTTACATCTGCTTACTCTCTTAAAGTAATAAGTATTCATTATTAAATTATTTAAATTTGACCTCAGTTAGAAAATAAGCCAATTTTTTTACACTGATTAATGAGAATTTTTATTAATTCTATTTATTTTCTGTGTGTATTATACTGTAAGACATAGGTATATAAGTTAACTATATATCATTACATATAAAATAATTTTTTTTTTACAGAATTTGCCATTTGATGTATTCAGCAAGTACAAGTTTACTTTTTACACAGCAGTTTTCTTTAGCTCCGGTTTTGGACTTCCGTTCTTAATGGTCAGATACATTAGGAAGAGGAGTGGATAAAATATTTTCATCAATTTTTTTGGTAGTAAAAAGTTTTGTAAAGATTAATTATTATTATATATATACAGGGTGATTTTTTTATCGAAGAACACTCATTATTTAAAAAAGTATTGTCTTTTTTCAAAATATTTTTTATATAGTTTCAAGTTAAAAAACAAACGKTTTTATTAAAAAATTATATTTTTGAATATTTTTTAAGGTTTTTACTTTTTTGAATGACAACATAGAGTTTTAATTTCATATTCCAAAGCAGAATATTTTTCTAAGTATTTTGATTCATAAAAATCGAATTTAGGGCGAGTAGTTTATGAGTTATAAGTATTTAAAGTTTAGATTGGCAGAGTGAAGTGGTACAGGGTTACCCCGCAAAATGTTTGTCCACTACTTCGCTTGACTAAACTTTAAATACTTATAACTCATAAACTACTCGTCCTAAATTCAATTTTTATGAATCAAAATACTTAGAAAAATATTCTGCTTTGGAATATGAAATTAAAACTCTATGTTGTCATTCAAAAAAGTAAAAAACTTAAAAAATGATTAGGATAAAAAATATTTAAAAATATAATTTTTTTAATAAAAATGTTTGTTTTTTAATAACTTGAAACAATATAAAAAAATATTTTGAAAAAAGTCAATACTTTTTTAAATAATGAGTGTTTTTCGATAAAAAAATCACCCTGTATATTTTTTTTTAAATATAATTCTAATATCTAATTATTTTTTTAGTTCACTTAGAACACAATCATTCCACAAAACATTCAATTACTCAGGATTAGTATGAAACAATTTTTTTAAAACCTAGTACAATGTTTGATTAATATTTTTCTATTCAATTCAATAAATGATTTTCAAAATTATATATATTGTTTATTGATTCAATTTTGTATTAAAATTTAATAAAAGCATGATTAAAAGTCATGTAGAGTAAAATCTAATATCTTTTTGTTTTTGTCAGGACCGACTAAATTTATTTAATTACCATTGTCTATTTAAATTTTAAATTGGCAACATATATTACCTTCTAGTTAAATGCAGCCTACCAATTATAGTGTAATTTACTCTGAATAACCTCCTAAAAATATTTTAATATTAAATTATAGATTTCATTAATCATTTCATACATAAATATTAATTTATGATGCTGTAAATTATTTATGATTAAATATAAATATAAATATTTATTTATATCCAAATACTTTAATAATACATATTCAAGTTACAAAATATTTTACAGAAGTTAACACGTGTGTAATTCAATAGTAATTTTAGAATAATTTACTATTTTAGCTTTTAGAGTTTTACAATTAGAGATTGTGATTACACATGTACCTATGTTTTTAAAGTCTGTGTAATAAAAAATAACCATATATATCCGATATCCGTGTATCTTAATAATACCCGTGAGCTTGAATCCTCATACATTTTTAATAATGAAAAGTAAATATAATAAATTATACAGAATTTATTTATTTAATTGTTTTTTCGTACATTGTAATATTTAAATATTTAAAATTTTGGTTTTTACAAAACAAGTGTTATAAATTTAAATAATATTTAAATTGTTTTAAATATATCCTTTATTGTAGTGAATAATTTTTCTCTAAGGTTTCTCAAAAATTAAAAAAAAATGATTCTGTGAAATTTGTTTTACCTATGTGGCACATTGGTCAGAGAGAAAACAAACAGTGCGCTGACATCCTCTTAAGTGCATAAATTCATAATATCTCTAATATTATATTATTATAAATATTTATATTTTAAGTGTATCTGAATTCTAAATTATAATATACAGGGACTTTAATTTTTTTTCCCGCATACCTTTGTATTTTAATACCCGTTCATATCCACGACCTCTACTTACAATCATAATGTTTAGTTGTTTAGTAAGTTTCTTCACAAACATAAAGTTACCTTATGTTTTATAAAAATTTACATGTGTGTTTACACTTCCTAATCAATTGTAAGTTAAATCATCTTGGATTTAAAAATATTCCATAAATCTAGAGTTCCTAGTTTACTACAGGTACAGGTACATACTTTAGATTTTTTTAGACTGAATTGTTGTCATCTTAAATAACTTATATGTTTTCATTTTTAATCATCCTATCATATATTTATTTTTTTTGTAAAAAAAAATGAGACAATAATATTAAAAAACATGTTAAAATTATTAATATATATATATATATATACATTGGAGACATTCATATTATAAAAAATAACAAGTATTGATAGGTAGCAAACATGGCTACTGACTAGTTGCTGCTTTCAACCAATAGAAACAAATTACATGATGGTTTTTATGATTGATAACATTAACATTGAATAACACAAATACATATTTTTAGAATCTTGATTTGCATTGTTTAGAGCTAATGGACCTAATTCCCTGATATCCATACACTGTCCTTTTTTCATTTGTCTCTCATTGCCAAAACTATCCTTTGGTACTATACACAAATTAGATGAATCCTATAACAGTCAAAATAATATATTTATATTAGTTTAAAATAAACTTAACGGATAACCATTATGGTATAAATTGTTCTTTACTTTAACAAAACTAGCTTTAATAGTTTGTGATCGTAAGTTATAAGGAACTAATCTAGAAGAATTCCTTTCTTCTAACTTAATACCACCAGTAAATATTACAAAATCAGCAATGTCTTCTTTGTTTTGAAGCACAAACCATTCAATTTTTATATAATTACTTCCAGTCCTAAAAACATTTAAATAAAAATCAATATAATAAACGATTATGTATAAGAGATTTTGAATTTAACTATTTTCATTATTTTTAATTTATACTCCAGTAATAGTTTTAATCCAAAAAGACTAAATTTATTATTGATAATTTAGATATGTTACTTTATAGGTTGATAACAGTTATATGATTTTCAAACTTTTTAAATAATAATATTTAATTTATTTTGCTTATTTCCATATATTAATGTCTAACACATGTCTATAGATATACAAATAATTTGTAATTCATAAATAAAACATGAAAACCTGAGCCCATAACTAAATGCTTTACTTATGAAAGCAACCCATTCCTATTTTTCAGTGTTTTTATGACTTTTAAGCACCTATATTATTTATTGATAAAAATACTTAACAATTTCTACAAAATATGTAATGAATATTTAAAAATTCCATGGCTATTAATTTACCTTTTTATCTGCCTAAACTTTACATCTGGTGTCACAACAAATGTATCATCCTCGTCTTCTATAGGAATATCACAAATCAATTCATTCTCACTTAGATCTGATACATAACATACTTCTGATGTTAATAATTGCACACATGTTATATTTTCCCATTGTGGATCTGGATTAAGTTTGGAGTTAAGCATTCTTTTGATAGGAATCAATGTACAATCACATTCAATGGGGTTACCTAAAGATTCGTAGAATTTATTGATTATTTAGTTATAACTTATGATATATGGAAGATACATGGTAACTGGTAAGATATATTGATTGATATTAGAAATAACCTGGTATAATACCTTTAAATGAAATTGTAGATCCCTTATTTACTATTTTAGCCAATTCAGGTGGAAAATTATTAAATAAGTTATTCTCTGCATTGAAATCTTTCAATTTTGGGACAAAGCTTATGATTTCTTTTGAAAGTTTTGTTAATTTATTGTTGGACATCAACAATATAGACATATTTTTAGGCATATTTCCCACTTTTTTCATCGTTTCCAAGTTGTTGTATGATAAATCCAATATGTTTAACGATGTTAAATTTCCAAGTACACCTAAAATGTATATACTTTATTAATAATTAATAGTTTAATACATATGGGTAAATAGATATACCAATAAGTATCTATAATAGTTATTTGACTTAAATATATGTGTGTGAAAAATGTTAATCGTATTGTTGAAGAGATTATATTATTTTATAAAATGTATATTTTACCTGGCCGAATCTCATCGATAGAATTATGACTTAGGTTAAGATATTTAACTTTGTGCGTTCCAAACGTAATGTCATGTGTTATTATTGGTATTTCATTATAACTCATATCAATTGATTCTAAATAACTAGGAGTGTACATATGGTTTGGAAATGATTTTTTGGTGAAAAATGAAAATTGATTATGACTTAAATTCAACTGTAAATATTTGAATTTATAAAGTATTACTATTTTATGTAGTGTTTAAATAAAATTATATTAATTAGGTAGGTACTTACATATTTAAGAGAAAGACAATCATCCAATAAACTATTTGTTTTGTTGTCCAAAGAATTTAGTTGATTATAAGACACATCCAAAGTTGTCAATGACACCAAACCTACATTTAAAAAAAACAAATAACAATAGGTATCTAAATATTATATTACAATACATAATATAACTAACAAAAGTACTAAGAGACATTTTCTAACCAAAATATCAGCGGCCCACCAGGCATAGGTACCCAAGTTCCTAGGCGAGCTGTGGGCTAGTCCCGAAGAGAGTATACCTACTAAATTAAGGAATATAAAATATGATATTAAGTTGAAAATTATTCACTATGGATTGATTAGGTGCCTATATAGATATAATAAAATATCTGCTAACATTATTTAGCAACATGATTTATTGAGTTAAAATGTTGGTTTGAATTATAATGTACTTTTGATATGAACACAGTTATCTACCCTAACACAGTGGGTAGGTAATATCTAAGATAAATGAAGTTCTATATTTTATATAAATACCTAAACTATACCAATCTATTTTAGATTCTAAGCGAAGCAATAAATATATATATATTAATGTTACAATATGATTTTTTTTTTACTTTTTGTGATTGTTTACTCATTAATATCATTATATATAGTTAAATAAAATGTTCCTATTTTCAAATAAAAATATAAAATATATGCAAATTATGTTTATAAATCATTCTAATCACATTTTTAATCTACCTATAGTTCCTTTTTATAAATGAACGCTTATGCCAGTGGTGTATTTGGGAGGGAAGATGGGGGTGATCGTCCCCTCCCATGATTTGAATGATTATTGTTTTTTTTTAAAGGAAAAATACAATCAAGATTTAAATATTATAATATTCTACTAGAAATCTCTTTGAAATTGAATAGGTAGTTATCATCATTATTTCTGATATTAAAGTGTCATCAGACACAAAAATAAAAGTAAAAACAGTTCTATGTAAAATAAATAGGGTAGAATTTAAACTTATGTATAATAATTTTGGAGTCGCCCCCTTCCCAAACAACCAAGTCAAATATGCCACTAGCTTATGTAGTTACGTTGGTTCTTAAGGAGACGCCAGTACGCCACACCCACATGTGTTGTCTTACAATACCTTTAAAATTCGGTTGTCACCTCTTAATACTATATAACAATATTTTACCCAATTAGTATCTACTAATACTAGTCTGCTACTTACAATTTGTTTCTAAGCCATAAAATTAGTTTTAAGACTAAATCAGTGGTAATCAAAATTAATAAATTCAGTATGGTAAATAAATTATTCCTCCCCCCCTAGATTTTTATCTAGTTGCGCCAATTGGCAATATATTATATTTGTATGGTAATAAACAATAACAATAATAAACTCTTGCTGGCGCACCTTTTTCGCTTATAGATAATTGTTTTTTTATCAATTTGTTAGTTCGATAATTATCATTGTATTAAAATTTAACACATAGGTATTAATAATGTATTATACAGTGATTTACTCAATTGCGAGGTACACTCGACTCTTATCGACCTACCTACACAGAACAGTTATACCGAATCCCTTCCCCCTTTTAAATTTAATTTCTTTTTGTATCCAAATTAAAATCCTATTATAATTATTATAATTGATTATTTATTTTTCCAATTTAATAATAAATTATTTCATTAATAATATACCTACTGACCTTTAAATCCTCCATTGGGTATTTCAGTTAAACTATTTTCAGTTAAATTCAATAATTGC